CAAAAAAACCAAGTTTGAAAACTGTTTCGTAAACGCACTCACAGCTAAATGTTGCCTTTTAATCACATGCATTGTTCTTCCTTCCTGAGCTTGAAATCTAATGTTGCAGAGGAGGTGGGGAATGCAGCTGCCTTCCTGGCCTCACCCTTGGCTTCGGCTATCACTGGAGCAGTTGTTTATGTGGACAATGGTTTGAATGCTATGGGAGTGGGAGTTGACAGCCCAATATTTGTGGATCTTGACATTCCAAAGGATAACTAGAGCTCGAGGTTGAAATTCCAACAATGTTGTTTATCGTGCCAGCTGAAAATTTTGTATTTTGCAATAAATAAATCGATCCCACAAAAAATCTTGACAGCCCTTGCCTTTATCTAATTAATTGGAACTTATTTTTCTTAATGACATTCCATAGCTTTAAAACGTTGGTGTCGCTCTCTCCCTCCCTCTCTCTCTCAAACACCTGATATTCCTGCTTTAGGCAAGAATACAAATCAAAATGATAAAATTAATTTTTATACAAATCAAAATGATAAAATTAATTTATGTCATCATCTAGTGTTCAGTAAGCAACAGAAATGAATCGGAGGCTGTTGGGTTCTTGTGCAGCAGATATATTGGATTAATAAATATTGGGATACTTTATGTCAAAGGAATTTTTTGGTTGGTAATCGTGGTCTCAACTTCACAAAATAGCATGCTCATAAAATAAAAAAATAAAAAACAAACACACCAGGGAGAGGATGAGAGAACAGAGGAAAGATGGTTGCTAATTTGCTTCTCAAATTTCAACCAAAAAGAATCCCTTGGGAACACAAAGAAAAAGGCCACGATTAATATGATGGCCTCAATGCTAAAATACTAATTGACCTCTATCATTCTATGCATGTACACGACTATATGACTGACTCATGGGGAGGTCCCAATATCTTCTGGCTGAATCCCCCCGCATGCTTACATTCTCACCTCATTTTTCGCTTCCCTTTCCGAATAGCGGGTATTCTTACTTGGATATTATCGTTCTCAGGAGTTGAGTCTTCCACAACTGTCTTCTCTTGTAAAACCAAACCACGGTTCCTGGAGAACTTCCGAATGGGAGTGGTGGGTCCTCCTGCCTGTGATTCTACAGGTATCGGATCTGCTAGGCTATCACTTGGCATGTTTATTTGATTCCTATTTGGCATTAGCTCCTCCCCTACCTCAACAGCAGATATCATCAACTGCAAAATTTTGCATTAGCACATATCAGAAACTAGACCAGCTATACAGATTGTTTATTTTCTAAATACATTATCAGAAAATGCAACAAACTTCAGAGGCAATATTGGTATGACATATAAGAATTAAACTCGGTAAATGTATCTATTAGGCACATGGTTTCTTGTGAAAGGAATATGAGGCAAGTGCAGTGTGTACACAAAGCTTAACACTAATTATATGGACGTCCTACCACTATGTTAAACCAACAAGTTTATCTTAGGTCGTCACCTGCAACAATCAAATCTTCAAATAACTACTCCAGAATCATTACGAGAATTATTCTGCACTTATGTACTTGTGTTACTATTCCATTATGCTGCTAGAGAACCCCACTGACGCTAAAAATCCTTGGAATGGTCGGCATTTATAAATAAAAGAAAAATTCTGCAGAAATTTATCATAAAAAATATAAATCTAATTCATCAAACTAAGGTCCATGTACCTTCCAATCCTTGAAGTCAAATCTGAAGACAAAGTGCCGGTAAGCTACCTCCCCTGAGACTACTTTACCAGCATCAGGTGCATTCCTCGGAGCTGAAATGTAGGGGATTCTTAGACAATAAGAAGGAAAAAAAGGGGGGAGAAAGACATTTTAGAATGAAAGCATTTATAAAAATCTTACAAACAAGATGCCAGCCATTCTCATTCACTTTTATTTCAGCCCTTCCATCTTTAACTAGAAATGACAAAGCAAACAAATTCTCCACTGTCTGTGCAAAAGAGTTTCTATTCAAAACCAAATTTTCAAGCTTGACACTTCTTTTATTCTTTAAAATACTAAACATAGTTGCCATATTTTTGTCAGTATCAGTTCTCTCCTTTGCACCACCGTCATTGACCTGCACAAAGTAACAGGAAAGCTTGGTACCCTAGATTCCAGACAAGGGATTCAGATATACATATATTAATGCTGAAAATGATTGAAGAATGAGCAATTTGAGGTCTCTATTGAATAATTAAACAAAATTTGAAGGTGAATAAACAAGATAAAGTAACAGAAGAATAGTTCTTTCCATTCCTGGGTTAAGCATATAGCAGTCAAACTTGGTAATTGCCACTCCAACTCAATCAACTTTTTTCACAAAACAGAAACCAATTACACAAGCATATAAAGCACCCCCACCTCTTCCGGTTGAACACTTCCGGTTGGTCTTGTACGTCTTCTACCAACAACAGCCTTACGTTGCTTTAACTCAGTATCCATCGGCCCAACCCTTAACAGGAAAAAACAGATGAAAAAATATTCATTTAAAATTTTCCAAAACAAAAGGGTGTTCCAAAAAGGACAATGTTCTGCTGCTATTACATGGTACAGCATCCAGGACAACTACTGAAAATATGTGAGACAGCAACTCCAATATCTTTCCAAGCAATCAAATTTCTGCTACCGTCAGCACTAGTACTAGGCCCATCTTGTCGGCCAAAATCTCTAAGGAGACCATTGACAAAATCTGAAGGTGTTATTCCATCATGTCCATGCGCCTTAACAGAGGCTACCAAAGAGTTTGTTATATCCAGTAAAGCCTCTGCATCAGCAACTTGTTCTCTAGGTTTTTGCACTGAAGATCACATAAATTGCAAAACCAGGAGCAATTAAGAAAATCATAAATGACCATTCTTTCTAGAACCGTAATTAGTTTTACAAAAATAGCAAGAGTTAATCAACAATAACAAAAACAACAATACCAATCTCACCAAAACACTCTTCCAAAACCACTTACAGAGCAATTTAAAGCGTTCGAATAATGGGAAGCACTCATTCAATGCAACACTTTTCAGGAAGTAATTTCGGGAAGAATTAAAGCTCTAAGAAATTAGCATTAGAAGAAAAAAAAAAAAAAACTCAACGCACATCAAACCAAGAACAAGAATTTGAGCCTTAATTCTCAATTAAAAAAAGGAATAGAAATGATTAGTGAAATGTAGAAGTAGCGAATACCCAATTTGTGCAAGTCCTCCACTTGATTAATAATGGAATTAAACTTATCAGAATCAACCCTTTCAACGTCCTCTCTTCCATCTGCTCAAATTTTTCAACAAAAATGCATCACTCATGTGTCAAACTCTGAAGAAAGCCAAATAAAAAGGAAACTCGTAAATACTTAAGACAGAGAGGACTCGAAAACAAACTACGAAAATTAAGAAAAAAGAAAGAAAGAAAAGAGTGCCAATTATGATTCTCTTCACGTCACGGTAACGTGAACGGAGAAGTCTCCGTTCAGTGGCCTCTTGACTGTCCATATCGCTCGTTTCAGCTCCACCATTATTGAGTCTGCTGCTGCTGCTGCTAGTACTACCAGCAGCAACTGGATGGGGAGTAATGTGGGGCTCGCGTTTGACGGGTCGGGTCATGGAGGTGGGGTTTTGTTAGAGAGAATTGGGAATTGTTAGGGTTTCAAATTAAGATGGAGAGAATTTAAATTTAATTGTTAGGATTTTCGGGGAGAAATGTCAAGAGTCTATTTTCTTTCGCTCACTTTTTATTTGCGCTGCGCGGTTTCTTAACAATAAGGAATTCTTTTGCTTTTAGCCATGGAGAAGGGTCCTGAATACGGATCGGGACACGTGCGACTTTTGGAGGGCACGAGCGGAAATGAACGGTTGCAGAAGCGATCCTAAAACTGGGCCTTTTGCAAAAAGGAGATGGGTCTTTAGGACTTCATGTATTGGCCCGTGAGACTAGAATAGATTTTATAAACCGAGGGTCAAAATGTAAAATTTCCATTTTAGAGGAGTAATTTTATAAAATTTTCCTAGAAATTTTATAAGCATGCGGAGAATTTTGCAAAATTTTCAAACCTCGTCAGAGTTGAGTTTTTATTTTTTATTTTATTAATGTGTATTTTAATTAATTTTATAAATTTTAAAATAAATAATAATATAAGTTTTTAGTGACTTTAAAATTTATAAAATTAAAATAAATAATTTTTAAAAAATAAATTCAGGATCTAATGTTAAATTGAAATTATATGATGTAATTCTCTGCGTGTTTAAGTTATTGATACGATATTTCCAGGAGGGAATCTGCTGGTAGAACACTTATTAGACCCGTTATGGTATTCATCCGATTTAAATGCGTGATGGTAATGCGGTGTCTTATAAACCTGTTTTCAAATTAAAAATATATTAAAATAATATTTTTTATTTTTAACATAAACCCATTAAAAATATTAAAAAACATTTAAAAAAAATTAAAAAAATTAAAAAAATTAATATAATATTATCTAAAAAAAAGAATTTGAAAAACATTTTTTTTTAAAAAAAACTTAATCACCTAAATAAACATTCCCGATAACCTCCGGTCAATTTGGATCTACAATATTATTTTAATATTAAAAATAATAATAAAATATTACATTTTAGTTTTTTTAAATAAAAGGGTATTATTTTTTAATTATAAATAAACTAAAATAATATTATTTGAAATAATAATAATAATTAAAAAAAAAACCAAATTGATTGGAATTGATAAAATCGAAGAAGTCATGTGGCTTGTCTCTAACAGTGTCGAAACTAAGCTGGACAAGATTTTGATACTGTTTGAGAGTGAATTTAATTTTTTTATTTTAAATTAATTTTATAAATTACTATCATAAATAAATTTTTTTCAAAATTATTTTTTCAATATTTTTTTCAAATAAATATTATTTTAAAATAAATTCACAAACACAAAATCCACGTGCCAGGTCCGGAGAGTTTAACATCCATTTCTGGGAGTTCAATCGAGTCTTTCAGTAGAGACAAAACTTTTCAGAAATTTTCAAAATTTCAAAATATTTCCTTTTCTTTCGAAAATTAATAATCCTTTTAAACGGCAAAATTACACCCCAAACAGGAGCTCCCAAGTGGAGCCGCAACTTCGCTATACTATTTCTCCAATCCAGCCAGCCAAGATGTCAAAATCCTTCCAAATCAAATCAAAAACCCTAAAATTGAACCCTTTTTATAATCACTTCACTATATAAATCACCCAATCTTCACTGATCATTGATAAATCACTGTTAAACCTTGAGCTCAAGAAACAAGAAATGAAAGCCTCACTAAAATTCCGGGAAGAGCAAAACCCCCTATTTAGAGCCAAAGTGCCACTTAACATCTTGGGTTTACCATTTCAATCAGGAATTATAGCCGGAGAATCCAAAGAACTTTCTTTAAATCTCTCTACTTTCTTCCAATCTGGACCCTCCATCAAAATCGCTTACCGTCCTAATGACTCGTGGAACCCCTTCTCCCTCGTTATCAAAACCGGAACCGGTCACTTCGGTTCTCCGGTTTCTAGCTCCATGATTATGAGTGCGGAGTTCAATCTATTGAGTAAAGGCACTAGTAATTTAAACCCTAGCTTTATGCTCCACTTCAAGCCTCAATTTGGGGATTTTTCGATTAAGAAGTCGCAGTCGTCGACTCACGTGAGTCATCTGACGGGGTCGATTCTGAACGGCAGCGCTTCGTCTGATGATCATGGGTCGATTGAGGCCGTCGAGGCTGCGACTCCGACTCCGGATGTTGTCGACGGCGTGTTTTGTAGGAAGAGGATTACGGTTATGCCACCGGTGACGGCGAGTGCGGTTGCGGGACTGTTTTCTGGCGTGGAGGTTACGGCGAAGACGAGCCTTCCAGTGAGGAGCCAGGCGGTGGTGAGTTTCCGGTGGGGAGTTCGGGTTCCGGCTGAAATTAAGAGTGGCGGTGAATCAACGGCTGGGATTAATTTTAGGACGATACCGATCTTTGTGATGAATAAGATTGGAATTGAACACGTGGATGGTAGAGATGAGAGCAGTAAGAAAGAGGGGACGACAGGGAAGGTGGAGATGGGTTCGGGGAATGCTGAGGTGGCAGAGGCGTGTTTGGGTGTGAAAAGGCAATTAGAGGTTTTGCAGAGTGAGAACGGGCATTTGAGGAAAGCAGTGGAGGAATTGAGTAAAGAAATTGGCGGAGGGAAATTATCAGTTGGGGATTTGGATTCTGGAAAATCCGAGAGAAATGGAATTAAAAGCCCCGAGTAGAATGGAGGAGAAACCATGAGAGGAAGAAATCAATGGAAGGAGATTGAAGAAGGCATGCGAGGGAACAGCTACTAGTGGTAATTGGTCCTTGAAATTACTGGATAGTTATAATTTGGTGCTTAATACATTAAGTTTGTTTTATTAATATCAACTTTTCAGTTTATTTAGGGTTTTGTTAACTATGTTTTTTTTAGGGTTTTGGTTGGTTGGTTTGGTTTAGTCATGTAAGATAAAGATGTAAATTAATTAAAATCAATTGGGTTTTTAGTGTTTTGGATAAGGAATTCGAAATTAACTGTAAGTTTAATTTTTATTTTATTTTGTTGGTAGCATTACTAAGGGGATGTCTGGGAGAGTTGTAGTAATTGATTTTTAAATTACTTTTTGTAAATTAATTTTTATTTAGAAAGGTAAAAAAATGATTTTTTTAAAATTTTTAAACATGTTAAAATAATTTTAAAATATAAATTTTTTTAATTTTAAATAAAAATAAATAAATTTGCTCAATTTCTAAAAGATTTATTTGTATGAATCCCGCATTCAACATTTTGATTTATTAGAGAAATGAAAGTTGGAGCTTTAATTTTGTTTTTGTATTGATTATAAACAATGATATTGATTACTGTCTCGAATATATACAATTAGAACACATAATATATATCATTTAAGTTATGCCATTTACTACACTCATTTAACCATAATGTTTAAATTCACTACGCCATTTGTTAAATCTCTTAATATTAGGGTTGAGTTTTTTCATACCGATTGATTTTGATTTGGTTTGGTTTGCTTCGTGTTGCTGAAAAACCAGCAAATCTGAAAAATTGACCTATCAGACATCCAAGAACAGCAAAAACTAGTTCTCAGCGTCTGAATCAATCAACCTTTTGTAAACATCAAGCAGATGGAAGGTCTCGTATAAATGTTTGAATGAACTTTCAAAAATAGCACTCACTAGATAGATATTCGACTGTGTTGTGTTATGGGTTAATTTTTTTATTTAATAAAAAATTATATATATAAGTTTTTTTGATATATTTTTGTAATTAAAAAAATTCAAAATAAAAATTCAAAATTCTAATGCATACATGCAATAAAAAAAAAATTTAAATTTAAATATTTAATTTTATAAGATAAGATATTTATTCAGTTGTATTTGTTAAACTTATTTATTTATTTAATTAAATGATAATAGAAATAAAAACATGTATTAAATTGATTGAATAAAATAAAATATTATACAAGACTAAACATATTAAAAATATTATATTAAAATAAATATTTTTATTTAAATAATAAATTTCATCCATAACAATAAAATAAAATTATAATTGAATCTATACTTATTGATTTATATACCTGTTTGCATGTGCTCATCACTGATGGTTAGTGACATTTCTTGCTTTTTTTGAGATATTTTTGGCTTGGTTTTCGTTGATGATTATGAAGTTTATGATTGAATGATGCTACCACAATTCCTAAGATTAGAATTATATGATTGCATATTTTTGCCTGACTCAACGCCTCTCAAAAAATGGGTGTGGACCTATTCTCGCAATTAATTCTTCAAAATTTCCTGCAATCTTTCCTTACAATTGTTCTGCACATATATTTTAGAAGTTTTATCAAGGAATTTTGTCTCGCAGTTTCTTTCTTTCTTTGTTTTCTTTCGAACTGCCTGAGATGTTTTGTTCTTCTATATAGGACCTCCAATTGCTGGTTCTGCTGTTGAAAAGCTGGAGGAAATTATTGGTTATGTAAGCATAGGCCCTTTGAAATGGAAGGACCTAATTATGATGCTCAGTTGGTGGATTTAATTCTGGGTTTCCTTGCATCATTGAAGGGATCAACAGCCTAACCAACCAAAACATTTGCACCACTAACTTGTAGAATCAGCAGAAACATAACTAAGTCAAGGTAAGGTATTGAGACTTGAACAATCATAAAGAAAATTGTATGGATAGATGATCCTGTGTATCAATCTGCAATGCTTAAACATAAATGGAAAACATCATGTTTAGATCCAATCCCTTTTCGCCTTTACGTTGACATTGATTAACTTTCATTTTGCTGACATTTTGATTTTCAGGATTGGCGCATTTAGGTTTGATTCCAGAAGAAGAATTTGGGATATAGCATTGATCAAGGAAAAGCGAAGAAACCGAAACAGTTAGTTAAGAGTCCTTGTATCATCACGAACAAGTTTTCACACTTTAGCATGTCATCCACGGTATGCTGTGGAAAAACTCAATAGTTTTTTTCTTTTCTTTTCTGGAATGAGTGTATGTATCAACTTTCCGAGATATCTCCTGTCTGATTGTTAGGGTTTATGAAGTAAGTTTTTCTAGGCATCATTGTTTGGTTTAGTCATGTGAAGCGTTGGTGATATTTGTTAAATGCGTCAGCATGTATTTGGACTACAGAAATAAAAGTGAGGATGAATAAGTTCAAGCTATCTCGCGTCTGATTCAGTGAGAAGTGGTCCTAGCGTGATAGAAACCAACCATGCAAGTGATGCAATGCTTATTTGGCACGTTTCACATCAAAGCTTATAAAAGCATCATAATCTAAAATCTACTTGCTGTAGATTGAATGGCAATGCTCTTTTCAAAAGCAGCATTGCGGAGGAACAAAGAAGGGGAATTATCAGTAAATATACCAGTAATGGCAGATAGGACTTTCGGTGAAAGTGGGGAAATTTAGATTTGAATAATGATTTATACATTCAAGTTCTTGAATTGCAATGGATTCATTCAACATCTGCTGGAAGGATTTGAGAGGAAACAGAGAAGCAGAGCTGCCATGCCCTTCCATTAGATTTGTACATTTCAACATCTTGCTGCAAATTGTGCTGGGAAAAAAATGGTAAAAACGCCACTGTGTTGCTTGATAGCAGTACAAATGCATGATAAGTTAAGATGGCACTTGAGGAAAATTATTGGTAGCAAATTTTGCATACAGTGTGCATGAGGTGAAAAACCTTCCACAGCATCCTCTTGGTCCTAATAATTTTTTTGTTCCTGAAGTAACTTGTGATTCAGGTATACCAGCTACAGAAACATTTTCTACAGTTACTCGAGGCCATAGCTGGAGCTGGCTTTCTGCTTGTTTTCATATGGTAAAAAATTAATTCAATTTAATAACTTATATTATTTAGATGAGATTTCAAGATAAGATTTCAAGATAAGATTTCAGGATATGAGTTATATTATTTTTTAATATTCTTCTCAACTAGAAATTTTTTAAATTTAAAACTTATATAAATTTAAATTATTTTATATTTAAAATAAAAATGATAAGATTCGAATTTGAAACCATTTAATCATGAAGACTTTGATACCATATTATTCTCTAATATAATTATTTTGATATTTTTAAATCATTTTAATATGATAATTTAAATAATATTTTTTAAAAAATAAAAAAAATATTATTTTAATATTTTTAAATATAAAATACATTAAATTATAATTATAACCATACTTTTAAATATACCCTTCAAGTTTATTTTATTATGTGGTTTGCAGCTTTCCCCTTCAACACAAGATGATATTACTTGGAGGCTCAGCCCTGATGTCAAGTGTACAATAAAGAGCACTTGGGAGTTGACAAGTCGAAACGTCTGTGGGGTTCGCTAAACATTCCTAGGCAGAGCTTCATAGCTTTGTACCAGGTGTTCGAAAGTTGAAGACGGCGGGAGTCCTCTCAGTGTTTTTTAACAGAATGTTTGGAATTATAGTTGTTGTTATTTTTAAATAATTTTTTATTTTAAAATATATATTAATAATATATATTTTTTATTTTTTAAAAATTATTTTTAATATTAATATATTAAAATAATTTAAAAATATTAAAAATATATTAATTTAAAATTTATAAAAAATAAAAAAAAATTAAATTTTTTTAAAAACAACGTAGAAAATGCCCATCTCATCTTTACTGATTGATTTTCGAAGACAACCTGGGGTACTATGCAATTTCTTTTGGCCAAATTTCACCTGCAGAAAAATATCACTTTTCCTTATACACTGATCAGAGTAGATAGGTTGTCACATGTTTTTAAATCGATTTGGTATATTTATATTAAAAATAATTTTTTTTAAATAAATAATTTTTTTTTATTTATTTTTAAATAAAAATATTTTTAAAACAATAATTATTATACTTTCAAGTACTATTCTTATCAATAAATACTACCATGACATTGAAATGTTATCTTATTCTTTTATTTTGTTTTTTATGTGTTTGTTTTTAGGCCCTCATTACAAAATAATTAATCATATATTACAGGTGGATTAAATTCTTTTTATATATAGATTAAATTGGTTAAGATTCTATTATTATTTGTTGATGTTGTCTTATTAAAATCCATCATAACCAAAATATTCTGAACAAATCCATTAAATATATTTTTGAGTTTTTTTCCTTTTGATCTTGTAATTAACCCCAACTAGAATTTTTAATGGGTAATTTGGTGTAATTTAGATTGTATCATATTTAACCTAGCAACATAAATGATATACCCAAATATGTTTAATAGCTTTGTTTAGGACAATTAATGTTTTATTTAATAAAATAATAAAAAAATAGAAGCATAGAAAATCATATAAATAAAATTAAAGAAGAAAAAAAATTATAAGTAGGACTACATATAAAGAATGCCTTCTAATATATATATATATAATGTTAAAATCTTATTTGTAAACCAAGTAAAAGTTAAATATTCTATTAAAAAACATCATAAAAAATTGAAAAAATAAACAACTAATAAAAAGAAAAAACTATAAATAATAATAATAATCTCATGCACTTATTATTTTTTTGTCTAAAAGAGGTAATATGGTTATTCCTTTTAGAGCGTGTTTAGAAGTGTAATTACGGTTGATTTTTAAAATATTTTTCATTCAGAAATGCATCAAAATATTTTTTTATTTTTAAAAAATTATTTTTAACATTAGCATACTAAAATGATCAGAAAAACATCAAAAAGTATTAATTAAAATAAAAAATAATTTTTTATTTTATTTTTTAAAAATATTTTTAAAATACAAAAACAAACATATATTAATATAAAAATTTAATGTTGGAGGGTTTGTACATTTTAGTTTTACAACCGGATGTTATTTATTGCAAACTTTCAAACATCAAATGTAAATATATATTTTATTAATATAATTATTATTCACGACTTTTTAATTCCACTATTATCCAATAACAACCATTACCACTTCCCTCCTATTAATAATATCATAATTATCATTATTATCATTACCATCTTATTATTAAATTAACAATTATTTCATCATTATTTATATCATTTACATCATCACATGACCATTATCAAAATTATTAATATTATAAATACTAAAATTATAACTATAATTAATATTATTATCATCATAACCATCATAACCATTATTTTTAGTGCAAATTTTATAAACAATATAGTAATTTTTTTTATCTCATTATCATCATTCAAAAACTATAAAATATAATTTATATCGTAGGAAGAAAACTCTCTTGATACATCCTAACAATGAAAAATAACTCATTTTTATATTATTTTTTTCTCAAAACAAACGTTTCCTTAGACACTTCATTTTATTTTTTTAACCGTAATGTTAAATTATTTCTTTTCGTCAATCTAGATTTTTTTTTTTTTTTTACAATACAAAGGATACATTCACACAACTACAACCCAGCACATTCTAAGAAATATATTTTCATAAACAATAATCTCAAAAATCCAAACTCAAGAAATCAATAAAAATTCTTCATGCTTTGTAAAGAATCGAATACCCACTTGGCCACTTATAGCCTCCACTACACCATTATTTTACTTCCTCTTCCTCCATTCCTCCATTTTTGGTCCAACTCGTGAGAAAAAGGGCTAGATATGACAACATTCTACCGCCATTAATTCGGCCATAAAGGCCATTGATTTTCTCTGAACTTTTCAGCATCACTCGAGTATGATTTTAAACACTTTTGTAGTATGATGGCGTGGATTCACAAGAAAGAGTACTCTTACAGAAATATTCTTGAACAGGCTCAATTTCTTTCAACAACAGAAGGGAGAAAAAGAAGAAGAAAGTGGGGTTGCGTGGTGCTCTTGCCTTTACAAAAACATCATATTCATTCTTGGTAGCTATCAAATCATTTTCTTTTGGTTAACTTCTGGCCATAGGTACCATGTGCTTTCTATCCATCTTGCGTAATGAGCACCATGCGATGCCATTTCTTGTAGTTTTCCAATCTCGTATTTGATTTTCCCCATGCATCGTTTGGTAGCCGGCATCCATGGCTTCTCCGTTACAACCGTACTGCATTCGATACATCTAGGGCATGTAGATGTTAACCTTTCGCTATGCTACAGTTTCTTCACATCACATCACATAATTGATTCATCTCTTATGTGGAATGCAATGCTTTATGAAGATGAGATTTGGAAATTTAGAGAATACGATACTATAAATAGCTGCCCCTTGTCAAATTAGCAGAAGTCTTCATCGTCGCGACTGAGTAAATATTTACAGCTTCTGATTGCGCCGTGTTTGTCATTTTGAATAGAGGAAGTGATGGAATGTTAGGAGATGGTAGAATTTATGGCCAGGTGGGTGCTATCCAATGTTTTTTAATTTTGAAATGTATTGAATTATTTTTTATATTTATTTTTAATATTAACGTATTAAAAAATTAATTTTAAAAAAATTGAAATTTTTTAAAAACACAGTATGAACGCCTCGAAAATAAATATAAACTATGTGGTTGAGCCAAACCTGCATGGAGTTTTCTCTCATTAAATAATGAGGTATACACTACAAACAAAGGCACATCAACTACTAACTAATCCGATGCCCACTTGCCAAAATGGCAAATTGTAAGCATATAGACAGGTTGAATTTTCCAAATAAATTCATTGAAAACTTCAAATTGAAAGGCTATAAACCAATGTACCAGTCACAATCCTAGGTAAAACTCATTTTCAGCAAAGGATACCGTGAACATGCATTTGTTTAAATGTCTTCAACAGGCTTCGTTGGATTTTGAATCCGACAACATAGAAATCATGTAGCGTGGTGATCTCATGAGGCTCATAATTGCCCTAAGTGTCTGTTGGGGAATTTCTTCTTCTTCTTCTTCTTGCTGGGTCAGTTTTTTCATGCCAAAAGCTACCAAGTGCATTCATACGCATTTATTGCTCAAAGAATACTTCAATTTCTTAGAAGCGTTCTATATCTTTGATCTCGAACTAGTATGAATCGTCAAAATCTAACTTGACCCTAAGTAAAATCTTCATTAATCCTCTTATGTAATACACAAATGATCTGTTTTAAAATCAATAAAAGTTAATTCTAGCCACAGAAATTAAAAAAGAAAAAGAGAGGGAGTCGAGGGAGGATAGGGACCATCTCATCTAACTAGGTTTAATACGGCCTGGCTGCCACAATACTGGATTTTTCTTCGGTCCTTGATAAATTAAAAAAAAAAATTAACGTCTTTATCATTCTATATGTCTACCTAATACATTTATAGAAAGTTAGGATAACTACTCTCCTTTACTTTACCACTTTCTCTCTTTTTTCTTTTTTTTTTCCTTTTCTTTTTACATTTTCTCTGTTTTTTCTCTTTATTTTCATGATTTTTTTTTTAATCTCATCCTCAACAATTACTTAATTGTGAATATATTTTCATAAATTATTTCAGTTTATTTTTTATAATATTATTGTAATTTCAAACAAGCGTTATAATATTTGATTTGTGCATGGATTATGCTTGATTTTACACAAATATCTTGGCATTTGATTCATGATTGACATTATAAATATTTATTTTTATTATTTTATAATTAAGTAAAAGATTTTCAAAAAAAAATTCTTAAATTTAGTGGAGTCCATCATCCATATCATAAATTTGATGGGTTAACCAGTAAATCTCGAGTTAATCGAATATATTAATTTCTTGACATTAAAAAAAAATTATCTTGAATTTTTTATAAAGCCAAATCATGTTTTTTATAAGTTATTTAAATTATTTTTGAATTTGTTAAATTGACTAGATTCTATTGAAAAAACTTCCGGTTTACTATTTAATTTTAAACCCAATTATATAAAAAATTAAATTGAGAATTTTAAAATTAATTTAATAAAACAAACTTAATAATAATACTAAATAGTTTTTTTATTAATTTGGGATTATTTTTTCTAGCCAAAGTACCACCGTGTAAACTAGGATATACTAAAGGAACACTAAGCAGTCTGAAATATTATTTGGTTAATTAATGACTTATTACATAGCTGCAGAACATCATCTTCATCTAATGCAATTACCACACAAAAAAAATAAATCCCTCAATTTCACTTTAATTGCCTTAAGATCTTTCTAATTTAAATAAATTTTAAAACATGAATGTAGTGAGAGTGTGAGACTCGCCTATGAAAGATGATGTAATAATGATGTTATTAATCACTGCCGGAGTATTTTTAAGATAAGATTGTTTTTGTTTTTTAAATCCACTGTAACAATAATTACAGTTATTTTTTCAAATGTTAAATTAGTGATCTGATGTAGTTTTAGATAATCATGATGAAATAGACAGGGATAATGATGTTTATTAGAACAAAAAAAGAAAAAATGTTTCGAATATAAGAATGAGTTAGACTAGTAGGATGCCTCTCATCCTCTCCTTCCCTTCCAGCCAGCTCTTGTTGTTTATTCTCTCTCTGATGTAGTTCCAGCTCTTGGATTTTGAATTTATCTCTTCACTTGTTTTCCTTTTCGAACACAAGCATTCAATTCTCTCTTTCTCTCTTCTCCAAATCCACAAATCTTCATCTGCCTGATTTCTTTTTCCAAGTAGTTGATTTAATTATTTAGTTTTGACGTAGAGGGTGCAATGTCAGCAGATTTTAACGTGATATGTGGATTGTATGAGGCTGAAGCAGCTAGCCAGAAGGATACCAGTGTTGATTGTAATGGTGACAAGAATGATGATTGTCCTGTCAATGCTGGAGCTGATCAGGTTGGGGAATTGAAGGGTGATGGGGTAGAATCTGAGTCCAAAACCGGTGTCCGTGACGATCAAGAAAATATTCAGGCAAGGCTTTTGCTTCTTTTTCTTTATTCGTATTTTATGCTCATTAATTGAAAGAACAGTGGTTTCTTGAATGCATTGTGTTTGCTAGTAGAATTGCTTGGAAAAAGAGGTTGATACTTTGAATGAATATCAAACGTGTAGAACGAGTAGAATTGCTTTGAAAAAGATGCATACTTTGAATAACAAATAGCTGTTAAGGCGAGTTTGTTCTTTTCATTTGCTCGGAGTCGGAGGAGATGCCATTCAGGATTTTGGATTATTTTTCTGTGGGTGAGAAGGTCCCTCCGAGCTGTTCTTCGGCATAGTCTCAATGTAGGGTAGCGTTATTCTAGGAAGGTTTTCTTTTGTATCTGTGGTTGAGCCGCCGGTCTGAGTAATGAGGGGTGAAAGTTTTTTTGTTCTCTGTTTCCATGTGCTGATAAATCTACAATATCATTGTGAATTTATGCTTTAATTAAACTAACTATTTATATTCTAAACAGGCTGCGGAGGAGGAGAGGGAAGAAAAGCCGGTGGAAATCTTGGAAGATCCAGACGTAGAAGGGAACAAACAGGAGTTAATTAATCACGATGAACTCTCAAATGCAGGTAAGTTGATAACTGCAATCAAGAAATAAATTTCTGTTTTCTTTAAACTTTTGTTGTTTATGGTTACCATTTCCTTTAAGCTTAGGAATAACTGAACTCTAAAATACATTTTCAAACTTATTTTCTTCACTGCTCCCTTTCTGCTTTGATAGTTTTTATCATCACAACGGGGCTGTTTTTTCTCTCTCAAGTGATGGTTCACAGCTTTGAACTAATTGGTGTTCTTCACTTCACTTTTTGGCTGAAAAGTGGCAGAATCTCAGGAATACCAATCCACTAGCGTGGATGTCGCTGAGTCTGAGCAAAATCGATCAAGTAATGATGAGGAGGAAAGCCAATTTAATCTGTCCATTGACGTAAAAGGACATGAAGATTCTCAGGCTGTAGTTATCGATGTTGTTCATAATTATTTGGGTTTGGATATGGATCAGCAGAGTGACCCGGTGGAATTGAACAATACTGATGATGTTGCAGGATCCGAGCCCAATCAGTCTAGGAATGATGATAAGAAGACAGAGGAAAGCAAATTAGGTTCGAAAGATTATCAGACTGTAGTCAGCAAGGGTCTTCATAATAGTTTGGACTTGTATCGGGAGAATAAACCGAAGGAATTGACGAATGGTGATGATTTTACTGAATCCAAACCAAAACCAACTAGCAATGATGGGGAGAAAGTAGGGTTAGAGGAGAAAAGCAAATTGGACTCAGTCATCCTATTAGAAGAAGACAAATTTTCTCAGCCTGTTGTTATCAATGGTATTCATAATAATTTGGATTTGAACCAGGAGAAGGAACCGTCTGAATTGATCAATGATGTTCCCCTGAAAGATTCTGGTGACGCATCTGGGGATTCTCTCGAGCAGAACTCGGAAACAGCCCCAGTTGTGGCTGATGAAATACTGGAAGCAGAATCTGATGAAGGTCTTTTATCCGATGGAAATATAGATGGCTTATCTGCTGGTCATGCTCAAGTTACTGTTGCGGAAACTCAGGTTGTTGATAGCCTGGTTGATGCCAAACAAAATTTGTCTGAGAGCTCTTCCGAAAATGTTGAACTCAGAGCAACTTCTGATGCTGAAACTAGTAAGAGTTTTCCAATTGCTAGTGATAATGGTACATCAGGAGACGCAACAAATCACGTCCTCAAGGATACTGTGCAATCAGAGGTGCTGGCTGCCAATGGCCTTGATATTCATGAAAAAGGCTTGCTTGTCAACCTGGAAAGTGCTTCACAAACTGTTCTTGTAAATGACTTTGTTAATGCCAGTCAAATGACACCTGAGCATAATCATACCTTGGAAATCAGCATGGAAGTGTCCTCCGATGATGTTGCATCTGTTAAAAGTTGTGAAAGCTTCCCAATTTCTCCTAGCAATGATGATATGGTGGCAGAACTAGCTGTCGGAATTAATGATTCTCTATCAGTGGAAGATACAAAGCTATGTGATATTGGAAGAACAGAGACGGAGGTTGATAGCTTACATGCTGATGACAGTGGAATTACTGTAGTTGATGCAAAAGTAGAAGCTGGAGTTGATAATGACCCTGCTTATGATGTGAAGCCAGATATTGGGACTATTTCCCCTTTCATTGAACCTGAAGAGAAAGCATCTTTAAGCAGCCCTGCTAATGATGTGAAGCCAGATATGGGGACTGTTTCCCATTCCATTGAACCTGAAGAGAAAGTATCTTTAAGCAGCCCTGCTAATGATGTGAAGCCAGATATCGAGACTGTTTCTCATTCCATTCAACCTGAAGAGAAAATAGATATTGCTGCTGCTGAGGTGGGGAAAGGAGCTTTGAAAGTAGATGTTGCTGAGGCGAGGAAAGGAGCTTCGAAAGTAGTTGTGGCTGAGGTGAGCAAAGGAGCTTTCTATGTCACCAAATTTCCAAGATATGATGAAAATAACAAAGAAAAGGTAGTAAAACATGCTAAATTTCAAGTTGAGAAGAGTAGTAAAAGGCGGGATGCTATTCAACCTCAAACCCAAATGAAAAAGTTTGGGGACCAAAATAATCAGACCGCTAAAACTAAAAGGCATGCAAAACCTGCTGCTTTGGAAAATGGTTCACTAACTGTTGGTGGAAGGTTTTGGATTGAAGAGCCAAGACAAGATGAGAATAAACGGATTAAGGCGGAAGAAGAGTTGGCTAGGAAGGCAAGACAAGATGAGAATAAGCGGATTAAGGCGGAAGAAAAGTTGGCTAGGAAGGCAGAGGAATTGAGAAAGGAAAAGGAAGCAGCCATGTTAAAGGAGCAACGGAGATTGGAGGAGAATGCCAAAGCTAAAGAGGCAATGGAAAGGAAGAAACGAATGGCTGACAGGGCTCAAGCCAGGGCTGCACTAAGAGCACAGAGGGAAGCTGAGCAGAAAGAGAAGGTAAATTACACTGACATGACATATTTGGTCAAAATATCTTGGTTCGCTAAATTTTTTATTTTAGCTGTTTTCCCTATTCGATTGACGTGAAATGTATTGATACGATAGAATTTTGCCCCATCCCTTTGTGAATTAACGTTATGTGAACCATTCTTTCGTGCAGGAAAGGGAGAAGAAGGCAAGGAAGAAGGAAAGGAAGAAGGCAGCAATAGAGGATACTAAAGATATTGATGAGATTGAATCTTCTCCTAGTTCCGAAACTCTTACTGAAATGGAGGAGTCTGAAAGAACAGAAAAACCTGTGACAAATAGGCCTCAAAAGCCATCAGAGTTTGCAAAGCAAAACAAGTATAAATCAATGCCTCTGCCGCTTCGCAACAGGGGTAAGAGAAAGAGGCAGACATGGATGTGGGCCCTTCTCTCACTGCTTCTTGTTATTGCTTTGTTTTTTGTGGGGAACAGCGGCTTCTTTCATGCTGTGCTGCAAAGGTCTGGCATCTAAATACTCACATTCATTAGATAATCACAGAGAGGCTTCCTATAAATATTTATTTAATGAAGCAATTCTATGTACTCTTCCGGTGTTTCCTTCAATCCGAGTTTGCTTTATTTACTCCCTGGGTTCCACACAACCCATTGACAGTTGGTTTTTTTCTGTTATATGCCAACATTAACATAAATCATCTGCTATTGAGTTTCTGTTTGTGAATTCTGCTGCCTTTCTTTTTTACCAAAGTACGAACCTTGGTTGTATTCTGATCAGGAGTCAAGGCTTCATTACAATCAGCTGAAGCCAAGACAGTAATTGCTCTGAACTGCTTTAACAGCGTACATGTTACTCCCAAATGTACCAGAATTGAAATTGTTTTGTTGGTGGATTTGCTTCGGTGGAAGTGTGACAGGTAAGAGTTTAAACCTGTAGTTCTAACCATGCCCCATCCGGGCATACATTGTTTGCTTAGTGGATGTCGATCCAGTAAATATCTCGAGGAACTTCAAACTCAATGCATCATCCCCCACTCTTCTTAAAACCAGGAAATGGCGTGACAATAGCAACACGAAAAATTAGATCAACGGAAGAAAAAAAACAATACTTCATGGATATTAGTCTTGTCATCTCGATCTCTGCATTCTGAAACCCACTGACATCAATCCCACTCCCTATGTAAAGAGCAAGACAACTAGAACTAGAAATGCAGTTGAATATTACATCATACCACGCATAGATGGCATAGCTTTTGATGCAAGAATCTTCCAGCCAACCCAAGAAACCACAAGGGCAACTCCAACTCGTCAGGCACAGCTATGCGTACCGCTGCACAGGTGCTTCAATAATCAAAACTGGGTGGAAGGTTGGGATTTGATACAAGCACACCAGAGTTTTCTCGAGAAAACAAGAGACATCCCCCCAAGTAAGAACTACTCTCGCTGTATGGCTTAAAACCCATCAAGCCCCACAATGAATCATAAAAAAAAAATAATCTGCAACAGCTCATGTAATGTAAAGCAGTAGATTCACATCGTCGTCTTTATGTGGACATTGGTTAGCTTTATTCTGTTTGTATTTTATTTGCAGAATTGGTGCAATGAAGAAGAAAGTACGAAATTCTATGTCAACATACCATTACAAAGGCCGCCACTGAATCATCAATAGATCTTTACACAATTATATGTCATCCACCGCCACGCATAATTTTACATTGAAGTCACTGCTCTTTGGATGAAGATTGAAGGAATTAACTTCAATTAAAAGGTTCTACGTGTGCATAAAATGTGAGTGCGTGGATATTATATGATACAAGCATGAGGTTTTTTTTTTTTTTTTTTTAATCAAGAAGATCAAAATCCAACCAAACAAAAAAAAAAAGGATTCCAGCGGGAAAAAAATGTAGTCTTGCGGGCTGAAGCAATTTAATGCTACTCAATTAACACTTCTAGAATTATCAGGCCTTACTACGATCTTCCACTAGTAACTGGTTTCATCAAACCTCATTCCTGCTCCATTGCTTGCCCCTGCAAGAATCTTGGGTCGCCATCTGATTTGCGTGGAAAAAGTGTGAGAAAACTACAGTGCATAAATCACCAGGAGGGTCAACTAATTGTCAGCTGTTTCATTAGTTTACATATAATTAACTGACGAGTCCAAAGCATGTGAGTCCAAGCAAAGCCTTCCATGCACATGCTTTAGACTCCAAGTTGAACTGTACATTTAATTGTATTTCAAGCAATCCAAAAATAAAAAATAAAAAATGCCCCACTTACAGGTACTTCCCAGAAAAAGGGTTCGCATCTATTCAAGAAGAGTGGTGGATCTCAATTAAATGGAGTATATCTATGCATTTAGTAAAATAAAAGAATGACCCAGAGAGTGAAGGAAACATTATACTTTTTCCTAAATGCAAGAAAACAATGATTACTATTAGCCTCCCATTAAAATGAACCGCTTAAACACAGGATATTGCCATCTTCAAAGAAACAAAACACACAACAAGAAGCAAAGATATCAAAATTGCACTTGTATTTATTACCACTTTCTCCATCAGATGCATCTGCGAGCCTTGCAATTGCATCAACAAGTGCTTGTTCATGCTCCTGCATCATAAAAACCAGTCAAGTCTCCAGTTCTAGAAAACTAACAGTTAAGTCTGCACTCAGCATGACATACAAATCTACTTACTTTTAACATCCTTTTTGCCTTCTCAAGGTCAAGAGGATCGGGATAACAGACACCAAAAACCCTCTCCACCTGTTTAAATTTTCAATGGAAAATGGACAAGTTAATGTGTACACATAACAAATGTAACAGATTCCAAGCTATTTCACACACCTCCTTAACTAGGGACTCTGTGTTGAGCAATTCGATGTTGTCAGAAAGTTTCCTTGCAATACCATTCTGTGTCAGAAGAAATTCTCTTTTTGATTGATCATTAGTGGATGCCCTCCTCCTTACAGAACTTGAAATAAAACCTCCATGGCTCATGGATTTTTTTATCATGTGCCTTGGCCCACCACGAGAAATTCCAGGATCATCACCTTCCCATCGAATGTCCTCTGGAGACATCTGTAAGAAGAAATATATGGACCATTCTTTTTTCAAACAGAAAAAAAAGAAAGAAAGAAAAACAAGTAAAAGATACATAAAACCAACCGATATTCAAATGGAAGCCACACTACTAAAAATTACAGAAACATCTAACAGAAGGATATGGTCTGATTCAATTTCAGGCCAAACCTCCCCCACCCCCAACAAGCTTTCCTTGTTTTTTTTTTTCCATTTTTTCTTAATACAGTATCAACCTAAAAAACAAATTGCCATTACTCGTCAATTCCAAAACATGACTCAAGGGTAATAAAGATAACTAGGATCCCAAACAACCTTGTCCAAACAAAGTTGGAGATGGCGATTGAATGAACTAAACTGATCAGCAAAAAATCTCTCTAAAAGAGTAATCAGCTTTTAAAGAAAAAGTAGAAACCCATTCATCAATAGCCCCATCCTCAACCTACCACTAAACTCATTGTTCACCAGCCATATCAATCCCATAACAAGATTCCAACCTCAGAACAGAATTTTTTTTGCACAACACAAGGTGCACATTTTGCATGCAAGTGAAAATAATCTTCGTGATGATGCACTGATCTATAAATGCTATCGACTTCGTGTAAAATGGCTGCTGCATAAAGATGGAAGCTAAGGAAGCAGGATCACAAGTATTTTAGCTCATGTGAAATACTATAAACTTACCTCATTGAGATCAACCCATTCCCATGTCTCATTTTCAGTATTCATATCATAGACCAGAGCATGTCGAGCCTGCAAATATCAAAATCTAGTCACTACAGCTGAACATTCACCAAATAACAAACTTATTAAAAACAGGGAACATGCAGAGAATGGGAACAGGAAAGTATCTGTGATGTAATCAGCATACAAATTAACAAAATATGGCAACACAGAAATATAAAAAGAATAATGGTGAATTGAAAATGAAGGGGTCATATTTCTTCACATGGGGGGACATCCTCAGGTGCAAAAATAAAGCCTTGAACATGCCATTCCTTTCTGGACATGCCAAATCATTAACTTGTTACCACCATTCCTTCATTCCAAGATGCCACTCAATAGTAATTATGAAACATGACTTCTAAAACCTCTAACATACCTCGGTAGGATTATAGCGAGTTATGACAGCCTTATAGAAGTTGTTGTCCTCAGGCCATCTTGTCCACACTTCTTTTCCAATTTCTTTGTCATCATAGGCGGAACCATGGCTGGTGAAATGCTGATTTCTGGGAGGACCTGTAGGATACTGCATAGAATTGTGTCAAGAATTAATTCGGGTATGATAGACCCAGAAAAAGAAAATGGAAGGAGAAAACCCAAGTAGAGGAAATTCACTATTACAGTTATATAACAAAAAAACAGCATCCTAAACTCTTCAGTTTGCAGCTGAAGATGATGAATGCATGGATTAAGGTATTGATTAAGGTTATAAAGACAGTGTCATCACATGAAATACTAAAGAAAATACCATTAGGAATGTCTTCTGTTTTTTACGGGATGCTGAAACAGTGGGACTAGGAAAAACATCATGAACAGACTGAGATGCATTGAACCTGGGAGCTCGCTGGCCACCTGCCTCTCTCCACTCCCTACACCATTACTGAGACTTTAGCCATCGCATACTAGTTATTCTGAACACCAAATTTTAGTAAACTCATAGAGCATTCAAACCTTATCTTTTGAATGATATCATCTCTATTAACCAATGTTAAGATCTCTCTGTGTTCATCATCTGACACCCTGAGCTCTTTCCTAAGTTCTGTAATTAAACCCTCCTTATCCTGAAAAAAAAAAAACATTGCAGAACATCTAAACTTCATCAGAATAAGAATATCTTCCCTTGTGTTTGATAGGGGAAAAATAATTCTCAAGTATCAAAAGATACACCAACAGAGAAAGTCAATACCCAACTAAGTTGATCAGATTGAGCCTTAAAAGCACGAAGTACAGCCCTATAAGCTTCTTGTTCAAGGTGATGAATTTGGGCCTCCATGTCAGCTTGCACCCTAGAATATGTTGCAGAAATTACAGCAGATTGTCCACTTCCTGAAATTCTTGCTGCTCTTACAACTCTATTTTGATCTGATGGCGGGATATCATCATCAGTACCTGCATTTTTTCCAGACAAAAGGTACATGGCATCATAGCCCAAAGAACCATGAACCACAAAACTCACAAAAACTAAGCGATGCTCTAATAGATAATTTTTAAGTCAAATTCATCCAGACATCCATAATTCAACTAATATTTTGACAATATAATCTTCATAAAACATGTCAGATTCACACATAATAACATTATAAGTTCAAAACATTTTGATATAAATATGAAGGTGTTTCTTTCACTTAAAATTCTACAGGCACATGATTACATGTTCAAAAACATTTAGAAGAAACGCAATACTGGCAAGATAACCAGAATCAAATTCTAATGCCAATTGCATCCCAAAAATAATCAAACTCTGAAAATCCAACTCAACCACTGAAATGAAGACTTTATTACGCATTCAAACCCTAATTCCTCTAAAACCCACGTTCAAAACACCCTCTAAGTCACAAACTCACCAAAACAACAACACCCGATTAAGTTTGTGAAATTTAAAACCCTAGGCCACAGAAACCAAACCCACATAATTCTTAAAAAAAGATTCAGCAATACCCAATAAAAGAACAGACTTTATGTCGAATACAAGGTAACAAAAGCAGTTCAGAAAATAAAAAATAACAGAGAGAAAGGAGAAAAGGGGACAGAAAAAGAAAACATACCACTACTGTCTGAAACTTCATATTCCATAACAAGACGAATCACATGAAAGATGCAATTTTTCCTATTGCATTTCAATCAAGACTTCAAATTTGAGAGACTTTTTCAAAAACAAGAAACGGGTTTCTTCAAATTCGTAAGGGAGAGACAGGGTTTAAATGGGTTGAGAGAGCAGAGGGAGAGGAGGAGGGAGGGAGGGAGAGGCAAAGGAAACGACTTTTTAGTTTTTATAAACGCCTTGGTCTGTATAACGTTGGATTGGGTTTTTTGACTTCTTACATGCTGATTATAATTCGATTTTGGCCCTACATATTCACCGATGTTCTTCTTATACCCCTATAGAGAATGCAATTATTATTGATGAACCAAAAGTAGAGAAACAATGGCTATTCAAATACTCAATTTTTATAAATCATAAAAAGGAAAATGATTTTTTTTGTTCTTAAACTAGTTTTTTAAATTCATAAAAACATACTTTAGAGGTTCTTTATAGTTTTGTTTTTCAAGTTTGTTATTGTTTTTTATGAAAAAAACATGAACAATATAATTTATTTTATATATAAATATTTTTTAGCAAAGTAAAATATAAAAATTACATTTTTTATATTTATTTAGTATAATAAATTTAAAATAAATGATTTCTTTTTTTAAGCTAGCAATAAAACTTTTTATGATAATTTTTAATTTAAAAGGATAAGATAAATATTTTACAATTAGATTATCACAAACATAAAATATTAAGATGATTACTATAAATTAAGACTTTTATGGTATATAAAAAATATCTATAATTTTAATTTATTTTTTATTTTTTATTTTACAATTATTTTTATAAAAAATTTCATCTTTATCTATAATTGTTAAAAATTATTTTTTATATATTTTGAATCGTTTTGATATGCTGATATAAAAAATAATTTTTAAAAAATAAAAAATATTTTAATATATTTTAGTACGAAAAGTACCGTGAAAAACAACCAGTATATATATTTATGTAGTTAATTTTAGTAATTTAGATTCCTATTTGGTTGTAATATTTTTCTATATGGAAAAAACTAGATGCCTACCTGATTAGAGCAGTTAACCTCACTTTAGAATGTCTCCATCAAATCTTTTATACTCTTATGATATTTGTTTACATGCATGGTAATAAAATTTTGTTAATCTTCTTTTTTATTATTCCTTTGAAATATCATTTCTCTTAAAAACGCTAACACAAGAAAAACTTAAAAAATACACGGAGAGGATTACCTGGATAATTGCACTTGAAAAATAACCAACCTTCATAACTAGAATGGCCGGTCACCATCTTTCAAGCTTCTGAATTTTTTTCCTTATTTTTCCTTAATATTAATCATAGGCCAACAAGCGCTGCCATGCTCAAGGTATCCTTATTTTTTCTTAACATTAATCATCGGCCAACAAGCGCTGCCATGCTCAAGGTATCGATTTCCCTATTAAATTATGACATTTATTCAACAACATGTCAAGCTTAACTGACAAGATCCATGGAACTCTAGTTGTTGCAAACATTGTTTAATCAAATTTTATTTTTTTTAATATACCAAATCTGGTGTTTCTACACTCTGATCAGTTTGTTACATGATTAAAATCTAATATTACATTATTACGGGGTTTGTTTTTGTGGTTGAAAATTATTTTTGTAAAAACTTAAATTTGTTTAATTTAAATTAATTTTTTAGTATATTTAGATTGTTTTAAAGTGTTGATATAAAAAATAAAGATATTTTAATATATTTTTAAATAAAAAATATTTTAAAAGACAACATTACCGATGTACCAAACAATAAGATGTCTCCATTTCATTTTCTGGGTTAATTTGAGATCGTTTTTCCAGAAGATGAGCTAAGTGTGGCTTTCATCAAGGTTATGCCTTGGGCTAGCTGCTGGCCTGAAAGCTTGGACCATTGAAAAGATGGGGGCAAAGATGAAAGAAAGACAAGGCATAGCTTGGAAGGATTTTATGGGTGTTAAAGGTGGATTAAAGTACTTACACAGCCAAGGATAGCTGGTCAACAAAGGTAATAATACATTCTAAGGGTTTAAGAATGCTACAAAGAACATGTAAGCTCTGGTTCTTGATTGGGATTCACGTGGCTAATCACATGATTCTTTGTTTTTTAATACATTTTCTGGGATTGCGATGAGCTCAGGAACGGTAATAGAAACAATAGTCAATTCAGCATCACATGATTAGCGGCTTCCAAGCTCTGCACTAGCCACCATGGAATATTAGATGGACCATCAGTATTACTACAATCATTGTTTTTTTTTTGTTCCTCGAACTGGGGTAGCCTTAAAGCTGTCTCCATTGAGTTAAAGTACTGCTACTAAATGGAATGATTTTATCAATGTTCATAGTTGAATTGATCTGTGGAATGAGAAAAATTGAATTCTACGGTATAACTTTAGACCAACTTAGAAATAAGCAAACTCAAACATAAATGAACATCCGTCATAAAATAAACCATCGTCTCTCAAGCTCCGATTAATTCTACCGTAAAAATACAGGCTGACGATCAATAATAACTCCCCCAAAAACAGCTTTTGTATATATTTTGTTAAGAAAAACTTCTCAATTGGTTTCATCTTGACATAAATCTTCAATTAAATATCGCATAAAATGATATCGCATAAAATTAATATTTTATCTCAATTGGTTTCATCTTAACATAAATCTTCAATTAAATAACTCTGCCTAGAACTATTGTGGGTTTTTTTTTTTTTCATATATATAGAAGTTGTGAAGTTGTCTTCAAAATGATATCGCATAAAATTAATATTTTAGACAAAAAGCTTTGACGATTTGGATGGAAGAGCCAGCCATTAAGGACTCAATTGTGAAAAAAAACTCCTTTGAAACCCAATTAATTAATAGTTAATGTACGGTTGTGAACTTATACAAGCTATCCTTCTCCTAAAAGCAAAAA